TGTATAAGTAAAAACGATCTTTTCCAATAACAACAAGACAAACTTGCTTTGAGTTATTATTTTGCTTGGATTTTATTTTGTTTATTTCTTTTTATATTTTGCTTTTTTGCTACCCAGGGGTATTTTTATTACCCTACACTGCCATCAAGTATTAGCAGCACAGTTGGGATTATGCAAAAATAGTCATAAAGCTTGGAGACCTTTGTCTTCCTTCTGTTTTTTTGGTTGGTTGGTTTGGGTAGGGAGGAGCACGTTCAAAATACAGGAATGAGCAGAAAGACAGGAATGGGAAGGGAGAGCCAGGGGAACACCAGAAAGTGCTTGATATTTCTTTATAGCCTTTTAACTCCACAGTTTGATTAATTTTTGAATTCTCATTTCTCTCTCAATTCCTTGATTTCTGAATAAAACATGCCACACCATCCAGCATCCATAATGCTCGTGACATCAGTAGTTGTAGATACAGAATACAAAGGCACCTTCATTTTCAGGTACCTGACTTATCATTGTAAATGCCAGTCAACTAAGCTGAAGTAACTTTCTTGCTCCCCATTATTTAGGTAACAAAATATATAGTATTTGTCATTAAAGACTGCCATTTTATTACAGAACAGCCCAGAATTAGAAATCCAGAGCACTGCAAAGGTCTAAAACACACCTATATTGACTTTCACAGGTAATGAAGCAGTACGAATTATTTGGGCAAGCAAACTGCCATTCATTCAATTACATGATTTTTCCATCTTTCCAGATCACCCGGAAAACCCCACCAGAATGACCAGCAATCAGACAGACTGTCATTACTGCCTGCAGTCTCTTCGTGGAAGGAAGTATGCATTAAGGGAAGAAAATGCTTATTGTGTCACATGTTATGACAGCCTGTTTGCCAACCCCTGTGAAGAGTGCAAGAAACCTATTGAGTGTGATTCTAAGGTAAGGATTTAACTTCCTTGGTCTTTTCTTAGATTACACACAAATCCCATTTTTTAAATGATGGATTCTATATCAGTCCCTCTACATACTCCTGTGCTAGTGAAGAAACCTAAGCATAGTGATTGTACATATGTATACAGCAGAGCTATTTTCCCAGAATAGAAAAGCTTCAGGGCTTTTTCTAAATGATGAAATCTGTGCATACATACACTTCAAGCATGAGTTAAAGCTGTGGTGTCCGCATGGACCACATCTGGATTCTATCCATCTCTGCTCACTCGCCAACAGAAGGTGTTCACCACAGTGCTTGAGGAATAGCAGGGTGCCAAAGGAATTCAGTGGGTCAGGCTGAGAGAAGCTTTAGAATATCTGAGACATGCATTGGAAAAATTGACTTCAACTATTGTATAAAATACTTTGACCGCAGGTGTTGACCTACAGATGTCAGGCTGAAAAGAAGCAATATTTATGATATGTATTTTGTGCCTTCTGAATTTTGGAAATGCTGTGTTTTCATTTTAACTTCCACTTTGCTTCTCTCAGAGAAAACATTAGAGGCAGTGTTTCTGGACTTGACTTTCCTTCCACCTCTCCCCTTTCTGAGAATAATTAATATTATGAATTCCTTTGTGGCCTTTCACAGGGTTTCCAGTACTCTTGAATTCAATTTACTGCAAGACGTCTTTTTTTTTTTTTTCTTTTTTTTTTTGTTAATATATACATAATTTTAACTTGAAAAGAAAACTGTCAAAACACCCTGGTTTTGCTGAGGTCAGTATGTACTGCTCACATTCTCCCCATGCTCATTTTGTCTATGTTCTTTTGAAATAAAAGAATCATAGAATCATCTAGATTGTAAAAAGCCTTCAAGATCATCAAGTCCAACCATCAACCTCGTCTACTGAGTCTCATCACTAAACCTTTTCCTTTTGTGTCACAAAGAATGCTGGGCCATAAAGTTAATAAAGTAAGCCTCTTGGGAGGTCTCCCTGGTCAACATATTTCATGGTTTTCAAAGTACATTATCTGAGTATAGCTCAGTTCCATAAAGGAATCAAAGGAAAACATTAATTTGGATGATGATTGTTTTCAAACACTCACCAGTGTTTTTCAACTGCAAACTTCTATGTGCAGCTCCAGTCAGGGTCACCAGGAGAACTTATACTCTGCCCTCAATAACTCCACTACTACAATTTAAAATTAAATGGCAGGGCTACTGATATCAAAGATCATTAACTAACTAAACTAAACTAAACTAAACTAAACTAAACTAAACTAAACTAAACTAAAATAAAATAAAATAAATCATGTCTTTTGACTGACTAGGAGGAAAAATTGAGAGAAAACAAAGCAGAGATAACATGAAAGGAGAGCCACAGTATGAGAAGTGGCCCACAGAGGCCTACAGATGGTTTTACCAATTCTGCCAAGGTGCTACATGTAGAACTTAGATCTCTTCCTCTCTGTCTTACCAGATCTTTGCCTCAGGCTGCTCTGGGGTGATAGCCCATTTTCTAAATGGTTCAGGGTGCTAGCTAAAGCAAATGAAAGTGGTAAACACTCAGCACCTCCTAAAAAAATGATGCCTGGTATGTATTTCATTTCTCATTTTAGCATTTTAAGGGGTGGGGAACTGACAAACTAGAAAAATGAGATTGGCTTCGTGCCCTTTTGAGCTTTTTATTTATAAAGGAGACCTGGAAGGGTCTGGTTTATTTTTTACGGATTTTTTTTTTTGGGTGGTGCATTTTTCCCTTGTTTTTTTAACCTTGGAAAAATAAAATCTGGTGTTTGCTCTTTTTGTGAATTCTTAGTGGAAGTCTCATACATATACTATTAGCTTTTTCATCTTCTAAGCCTGCTGAGTCTTAAACAAATATCTTTCTGCCAGCTTTTTAGAAGGACTTATATTAGGTGTAAACAAAAGCAATGATTTTTTAATACTCTTCCTAAGAACCATTTTTTTCTCAAATAATGAGATTTTAATTGCTTGCTCTCTGCAATAATATGATCTTTCTTTAGTGTTATGTAGAGTCAGCTGGAAGAAAAAGCAGTAACATTAAAAAATGCATGAAGTTCTGTTTAAAAGTCTACAGAGAATGCATTTCTTGTCAGGTGGCCTGTGCACATTAAAAATGTTAATTACTTGCTTTCCCTTGAAGGCCAACTGTAAAAATATATGATTGGTCTTCCAATATAAACATCGCTCTGATGTTGCACAGGGAAGAACAATTGCTTCAATTGCCTGTGCCAAAGCAGATCCTAACATCCTGTACGAGAGAGTTGCAATATACCCTAACACAGAGACTATGAGGGCTGACACACCTTCTGCTGGATGCAACTGTATTCTCTTTGAATTGTTATCAAAATGTTCTGCATTTTTCACTTTATTTCTGGGAGGAGCTGAGGAAAAAAGAACACTGTAAAGAAATATCTTCATTAACATGGACATACTTTCTCCAAGGATCTGGCCTACAAAGGCCGCCACTGGCATGAGAGATGCTTCAACTGTGCCAAATGCAGTCGCTCTCTGGTGGAGAAACCATTTGCTGCAAAGGACGAGCTTTTGCTGTGTACTGAATGCTACTCTAATGAGTATTCATCTAAGTGTTTCCACTGTCAGAAGACCATTATGCCTGGTAAGACAACAAAGACCTTTCACTGAAAAATGGAACTGCATTTTTAATTAAAATCACATCCTTGAATAACCCACCTATAAAATCCTTGACATTCAAAACAGCTTGCAGGTGACTGAATCTCCCTCTTGTAGTACCCTGCCAGCATTAAAGAGGCAAGACAGACACCTCTGGTCTAGCACTAGCAGGGCTTATGAATCCTTATAAAGAATATTAGAGTTCAAAATAGAAAAAGATGTGTTCATGCTGAGTCCTTGATTCTGCCTGCAGTTCTTAGGAAGTGTATCCCGCTGTGAGTGTAGGTAGACAAACAGAGATCGTTAGCAGGAGTGCAGGGCTAGACAAGACATCTGCATTTTGTCTGTCGCCTTGGCAAGACCTTGAGTATCAGACCTGGCTCACAGTCTTTATAAACCATTTCTTTCCCTCAGAAATATCTTTTGCTTTAATTGTCAAAACATGGTGTTTTATGTTCAAATCATTATCAATATTTTTACTAAAAAACACATACAGATGTGTTTACAATAGTTTTATTTCCTAACATGAGCAACTTTGAAAATTTTGCACTTTCCTCTGAACCGCTTCTCAGTTTTTGATAGCTGTTTGTCTAGGTCTTTCATTGCTTCCACACCAGTAAAGCTAATGCGACAGAGACACTGCTTAAAGCTGCCTCTTCAGAGGCTGCCTCTAAGAGAAGCAAGAGCAGTTTGTGTGCCAAAATGGAGTAGCCTGCCAAGGAGAGTGGGTCGCAAACTTCTGGAAACCCGCAATGCTTATATCCTCTTACAGATCACGCATATAGGTCCAAATACCAGCAGCAAGCTATGTACCTTGGTCTCATAACTACTAGATTGGGAACCTCTGGCCAAGAATATCAGTAAACTTACCAGCAACACAGGAAGTTTATTTTTCAGATTAACGCCAAACAATAAGATCCAGGCTGTGAAGAATTATCATCTTAATATAGATATTAGGTTACCCATGTCTTGGTTTAACCTGTAGAGTTAATAAAACTATGTACTTGTACTATTGTATTTATTTTCTTTTTCATTGCAGGTTAAAGTTGTATTTGTGGCAATATACTCTACCCCTACCCCCCCCCCCCCCCCCCCCCAAAGAAAATCAGGGAGAAAATATGATGAAAAGGGCTCAAGGTTTGAGATAAGGACAGGGACATCACTCAACAATTATCGTTGTGGGCAGAACAGACTCAGCACAGGGAGATTAATGAAACCTACTGCCTATCACTAGCAGACTAGAGCAGCGAGAAACTCAAAATAAACACCTTCCCCCCATCCCAACCCACCCTCTTCTACCATCCACCTTGTTGATGTTGTCCTAGAGTCTAGGAGACTAAATCCTCACAGCAAATGTTGAGGGTAGGAATAACATTGCAAACAAAGAACTGAAGTGATGCTAACCAGTTCCTACCTTGTTAATCGTTGACTTCTTCTTCAACTTGCTAGCTGTATATTGAAAAGACCCTGTAGGCAAAGATAGCAAATTTAGCCTTCTGATCACCAGGAGGAAGCTGCAAACTCTTTATGTTTAAGTACAACTAATAGTTTCTCTTTCCTCTAAACCCACAGTCCAGGTAGCAAGTATTCAACGATTAATCATCATCAATTCTCTCCTTCCTGGGGAAAGGATGGTAAAGTGCCTGGCACCTCTCTTTGCAGTCTGATGTTACTGGCAGAGGTGGAAGCTATGGTGGAGAGTCACTGAATGAGTCATTTTCAGACATGTGTGCATATTTTAGACTTCCACATCTACATTAAGGTGTATAGTGCACCTGTACACAACTTAAAAGCTCTGAAACTGGTGTAGCAGACATTTAACTAAGTGACTTCCTTTTGGAATTGCATCTGTCTTTGCAGTGAGAAAAACTTTGAGCAACTGAATTGTATCACAGAAACTCTAAGAGTCATATAAGTAAAGACTAAAAAAAAAAAAAATGTCACAGTTTGGTATGTCTTTTGCCATGTGACTGTATGGTATTGAATGTGTTTTAGAGATTAAATATGCTCTTGTAAAACCTATGGCGTTAAGGATAAGTGGTTTTTGGGGTAGGCGATACTAAGATAAAAATACTAAAAATAGGAGTCTTCATGACATTTAAAACTCTTGTTACAAGGCTGTATTTGGGACCATTGTAATGATTTTTGCAGGTTCTCGTAAAATGGAATTTAAAGGAAGTTCCTGGCATGAATCCTGTTTTGTTTGTCAGTATTGCCGGCAACCACTGGGAACAAAACCATTGATCACCAAAGACAATGAGAATTACTGTGTGCCCTGTTTTGAGAAGCAATTTGCTCACCATTGCTACTCTTGCAAAAAGGTAATTACAATGGAGAAATTTCACTGTGCTGGCATGTTATTTTTGGTCAAGTCAAGACCAGATTGTTCAACAGCAAAAATTATGCTAACAGTTTTTTCTGCAATCTTTAAAGTTCAGGCTTAAAATAACCTCTGTAAATTCTTACTTCCATTCTCATCTAGAAGTCTGAAATTTAAGTCATAATGGGCAAAAGAGATTATCGGTAGAGAACATGAATTCTTAGATGAGTTCTTTTCTGTAAAACAGCCAAAGCTTAAAAAAAATATATAAAATAAAAAATTTACACATTAGAGCTTATGAGGACAAGTCACATAGCTGGATGAAAGTTCAGACTATATGCTTAACAAGCTTTAATAAAGTAAGAATATATTTCTTTTATCCTTGTTTCCTTACAGTTTTTGTCAACAAATAATGCTTTTAGTACTTTAAAGTGCTTTTCTAAAAGCAGATAAGAAACACAGGAAAACAATCTTGAGATCAACAGAACTCTTATTGCCTGTAACTACAGCTATTTATAATTGCTGTTAGCTGCTTTTCAGGAGCACCTGGAGCTTGCTTTGTTTCTCCAACAGGTATTCATATCACCTGTTTTAAAGTATTTAATGTGGATGCTTAAATTAGAAGCTTTTAGTCTTTTTTTCATCAGTAGAGCTCTCAAGATATTTAGGAGAGCACCTGTGAGTATACAAAGAGCTTAAACTCCCACATCTGACCCCCCAGTTATGTGGATGAAGTTAGGAAGTTTTAGTACTTCCCTTTCTGTTTCAGTCTTTTAACAATAGAATAGGAATGCCAGTTAACTTTCTGAATTTATGGAAATGTTGGGTGCAAATTATGGCAATAAATACACCAGAGATTATGGTATGTTTAGATAGCTCAGTAAGACAAGCCTGGGGAATAGCGGAGGTAAACAACAAAAAAGAGATGTGCATTTGTAACAAAAAAATGGTGTGTCTCTGTTTAGTGACTTGTTCACAGTAATTCAGGATCTATGGGAAACAGTGCTATATTTTAAATAACTACTCCTGTGGAAGACATTAATTCTTTTCCTGACAGCAAAGTTATATCAAGACACTAGGTTTCCTAACACTGGAGAAATAGGATGTAACGAGGGTGTCACACCACCTAACTTTAAATCCATAACAAAGATGCCTGTGCTCCTTAGTGGGGCATTATTGCTCATGGAGGAAGATGCTGGATCACGCAAAATGTCTGGTGAATGGACAGGAAGAGCCAAGTCTTCCTTTTGGTATTGATATTAGACACTGAAAACTAACTGTGACAGCATTTGCCATTTTATTCTAGATAATATTAATATAAGCTTAATTATATTTGTTGACAAAAACAATTTTTTTTATTAGTTGTGATTTTTTTAACAAAGGTTGAATTTTACAGAAAGTTTTTTAAAACCTTCCTGATAACAACTGACCTTGCCTTGATAAATATGCCTCTCTTTACGTTTGTCAGATGTATTCACATGCAAAATCAGCCACCTAAGCTGACAAAGGTGTTCAAGGTCAAACATTGTTTTCTCTTGAAATGTATCAGGCAATAATCAGAATAAGTAATACTTAGTTGTGATAATACAAGTCAAGAGTCACACTGTTTTCTTCAACAGTTAAACTTTAGAAAATACCTCCAGATATTCCTAAGCCTCTATATCTAGCCATTTATTTGCATTAAATGATCACATGACAAATATAGTAATTCTGCTCCATATTTATTAGAGAAATTGAGGTTAACAGCATTTATATGAAATAATCAGGATTTGCTTCTTAAAAATTATAGGAATGCAAATAGACTACATGCATACTAAAACAATTTTACTAAATAAAACTATATCGGTTTCCATAAATAAGTGAAATCAAAGAGACTGAATTGCTAAAGTCTTCAATTCTGTGCCAGAGAAAAAACATTTGAAATTTTGAGATTTTAATGGAAAGACAGATTAACTCTTATTGTAGCCCAATACTAGAATACTAAAAAGATTGGGAACCATTTAAATTTCTTATTGCCTGACATCACCCAGTATAATTCTTTATTTTCATGAAGCTGTGTTTCCCAGGAAATTGTCATGGTGCCTTTATTTTTATTTAATTGAGTTTCTCCAACTCTTTCTTTTCCTGTTCTAACTATACTAATTCACTCACTTATTCACTCACTCATCCATTCATTTACTGTCATACGTGTCTTGGTGGTAGAAACACCATCTTAGAGCTCATTTTTATTTCTAGAGAAACTCCTTTAAACAGTCCCTCAAAACTTCTGTGAAACTTACTCTTTACTGCACATATGGAAGCCCTGAAGCAACTGGAAATTTCCTTCTTCAGAAATAACCAGTGGAGAGCTGTGAGTGAGTTGCAGGGAATGGAAATTTGATGACAGTGACAAACACTATTTTTCCTTTTTCTGACAATGTAGATCTCCTTTCTGTCTCATTTCTGCCTCTTTACTGTCTTTTTCCTCCTACTTAAAATGCTGCTTCAATTTTGAGACAGCAAAATATCGATTCCAGTTGGAGATTAGCCCTTTTCGCATCGTCATTTCTATCAGCCACTGTCCATCACAGAATCGTTGCACTGAGAGTATGCCTGATGCTCAGCCTTTACCCAGATGGGTAATAGAAAAAACTCATGACAAGCTAACCTGTTCATTACAAGCCATAAGGTTATTCTGTGATAAGAAATCAAAAATAACAGAACACTGGTATATTCATATCAGCTGCAATTAGTCAGGTTTTCAGATGAAGTCTTAGTTGAGTTTTCCAGATGAAAAATAGTCGACATGACCATACTGTCTCTCTCTTCACTTGTGCATGTTGGAAGAGAGAAACAAGTGGAAGAACTTATGAATCACTGGATAATCCTTCATGATTCATGCCTTTGTTTTATTGCTATGTCTTTTTTTTATCAATATGTTAGGTAATAACTTCTGGGGGAGTGACCTACCATGACCAGCCTTGGCATAAAGAATGCTTTGTCTGTGCTGGATGTAAAACTCAACTGTCTGGACAAAGGTTTATCTCCAAAGATGAGTACCCATACTGCGTAGACTGTTACAGCAGATTTTATGCTGAGAAGTGTGCTGCTTGCAAGAAACCTATTACAGGTGAGTCTTATCTTTTAGAAGGGACTAGACACTGAGGAATCATCAGTCTCATCTCAAAATCTTTACTGTAGAAAATGGCATTAAAAATAGTCCCATCATAATTAAAGACAGAGATAGCTAGGTACTGGAGAGACCCCCTCTCTGTCAAATGCAACACGTCTCGCTAGGACATACTGATCACACGTGTTCCCTGAATGCTGTGCTCTTTTATGTGCCAAACATTCTCTCATCACTTGACTTAGCACTTTATGCACTAAAAATGCATAGAATCCCAAGAATTTATTAAAAGGCATTTTTGGCTCTTCTTCAGCCAATACACACTAGTCCCTCATGGCTGTAATTGGTTTGCCTTTGTTTTTAAATACAAATGTGATAAAACTGGATGTGAGGTAACTGCCCGCTGGTAAGGCACACCTGTCAAGTTCGAGAGCTTGCCAAACATAACAAATCTCTTTGTATGCATCCTTGTGCACTTCCATGGTCTGGAAACTCCATGATCTGGAAATTTCCCAAAGACACTATCTTGAAGATACTTGGTGAAAACAATTAAATCTCAGTCAGTATTGTATAGAAACTATATGTATCTATGCATTGCAAATAATTTTCATGAGAGTTTGTTGGGAAGATCTGCAAACCTTAATGGACATTCTGATAAACTTGTTCCATTCAGAGTTCATAATGGGATATGAAAACAATCAAGTGACTTATGGCTGTACTTAAAATATTTCCCAGTATCTCACTATTATTTTGTCTCACTATCTTAAAGTGGTTGGTTATTTGTTTTTATTTTTTGTTTGTTTGTTTGTTGTTTTTGTTTTGTGTTTTCTGTTTTGTTTTGTTTTGTTTTTCAATTCAGCTAAAAAAGACTATGGATTTTTGTTCATTAATTTGTTTGCTGTATGAATAACAATGTGATCATACATCAGAAAACAATCTGTTGCGTTTCTGAACCATGTCCAGAAATACCGGATTCACATCTTCATTCTCATAATCTCTTTCAGCTCTTGGAGGTGCCAAGTTTATCTCATTTGAAGAGCG